CATGTATGTGATGTTTACTAGTGGAGAGGGTGCTCAGTACCTGCGTGTTCCGCCCGACCCGGGCATTCGGACCAGTGAGGCTGCCGCTCTAGGTGCTAGTGAGACTGCCACTGCAGGTACTCGCGTGTCTGCTACCTCAGGTGATGGTGAGGCTGCTGCTCTAGGTGCTAGTGAGTCTGTTCCCCCTGGTACTGAGTCGACTGAGGCACTGCACACCTTCACCCTGGACTCAGGTGCTTCTCGCTGTTTCTTTCGTGACCGCACTGCCCTTGAGCCGCTTGCTCGGCCAGTTGCTGTCTCCCTCGCTGACCCCACTGGGGATCCGGTCGTTGCGACCTCCTCCACTGTTCTTCCCTGTCCAACGGTCCCGTCGGGCACACTGTCAGGTCTCCACCTCCCCTCGTTCTCTACGAACTTGGTGGCGGGTTGTGCGCTCCAAGACGCGGGTGTTCACCAGTTCACCCCTGCCTACGAGCGCGTGACACACTGCACGTGTGCTCGGACGGGCCGTCACCTGGCTACCTTCACTCGACAGCCGGGGTCGGACCTGTACACACTGACTACTGAGTCCCCTCAGGTAGCTGCGTCTGCGTCCGCGTCTGCGTCAGGTCAGCTGTCGGCCCCCTGCTCGTGTCGCTCTCTGGTGCACGACACCGTCCTCTGGCACCACCGCCTTGGCCACCCGTCTGTGCAGCGCCTTCGTGCCATGCACAAACGGCACCTTGTCTCTGGTCTTCCCAGGGTTCTCCCTCCCCTCCCACCCTCGCCTGCTCCTCCCTGTCTTCCCTGTGTCGAGGGGCGGCAGCGCGCCGCTCCTCACTCCTCCTCCTTTCCCCCGACGACTGCTCCCTTGCAGACGCTCCACCTGGACGTGTGGGGCCCAGCCCGCGTCCGTGGACAGGGTCAGGAGAGGTACTTCTTGATTGTTGTTGACGACTACTCTCGCTACACCACGGTCTTCCCCTTGCGCACCAAGGGTGAGGTCCCTGCTATCTTGATCCCTTGGATCAGCAGAGCTCGTCTCCAGCTCAGCGAGCGTTTCCGCTCAGACTTTCCTGTCCTGCGTTTGCACTCTGACAGAGGTGGTGAGTTCTCCTCCGACCTCCTGGCAGCCTACTGTGCGGAGCACGGCATTGAGCAGTCGTTCACGCTTCCGGCCTCTCCACAGCGGAATTGGGTTGCTGAGCGCCGCATTGGCTTGGTCATGGAGGTCGCTCGTACCTCCCTGATCCATGCGGCTGCTCCCCACTTTCTGTGGCCGTTTGCGGTCCGATACGCTGCGCATCAGCTCAACCTCTGGCCCCGTGTCTCCTTGCCCGAGACTTCCCCGACACTGCGGTGGACGGGAGAGGTTGGCGATGCGTCGCGTTTTCGGGTCTGGGGATCCCGAGCTTTTGTTCGCGATACGTCCGCGGACAAGCTCTCCTCTCGCGCTGTTCCTTGTGTCTTCCTTGGCTTTGTCCCGGACGCGCCTGGTTGGCAGTTTTACCACGTCACCTCGCGCCGGGTTCTGCCTTCTCAGGACGTCACTTTTGACGAGTCCGTCCCCTACTACCGCCTCTTCCCCTACCGCACTGCCCCGCTCCCCCCCCCCGCCTCTCTTCCTCGCGCCAGGTGCTGCTGTGGTAGACCCCCTCCCCCCTCAGGGTGCCGCTCCCTCAGGTGTGTCCCAGGTAGACCCGGTTGAGCCTGTCGAGGTAGCTGTCGACTCTCGTCCTGCTAGGGGTGCTGAGCCTGAGCGTGAGGAGCCTGGCGGTGCTGCGTCTAGGGGTGCGGAGCCTGGGGGTGCTGAGCCTGGGAGTGCTGAGCCTGGGGGTGCTGAGCCTGGGGGTGCTGAGCCTGGGGGTGCGGAGCCTGGGGGTGCTGAGCCTGGGGGTGCTGAGCCTGGGGGTGCTGAGCCTGGGGTTGCTGAGTCTGGGGGTGCTGAGTCTAGCGGTACTGAGCCTGGGAGTGCTACACCTGGAGGAGCCCTCTCCTCACAGCAGCTGCAGGAGAGGTACCTACAGTACTGCAGCCTCCGGAGAGGTGCTGCTGGAGCTGGTACCAGTACTTCCCCTCCTACCCGGGAGCTCCCCTCCCTTCAGCGGATCCGAGAGTGGTACACGCGGCGCTGCAGTCTTCAGAGTGGCGCTCCTGGTGCTGAGGACCCTGGCGTTGGAGCTACTACTGGTGCTGAGGACCCGGGCGTTGGAGCTACTGCTGGTGCTGAGGACCTGGGCGTTGGAGCTACTGCTGGTACTGAGGACCCGGGCGTTGGAGCTGCTGCTGGTGCTGAGGACCCGGACGTTGGAGCTACTACTGGTGCTGAGGACCCGGACGGTGGAGCTGCTGCTGGTGCTGAGGACCCGGGCGTTGGAGCTGCTGCTGGTGCTGAGGACCCTGCCGCTGGTGTCGCTGCTGGTGCTGAGGACCCGGACGTTGGAGCTGCTGCTGGTGCTGCGGACCCGGGCGTTGGAGCTACTGCTGGTACTGAGGACTCTGACGCTGGTGACTCTACTGGTTCGGGAGACACTGCGCGGTCGCGACCGTACTTCGTACCGCTCCTTCAGCAGGTTCTTGGTCAGACTCCTCCTCCTTGTCCTCCTTCCTCCTTAGAGTGTCCTCCGCCTGTCCAGTCGCAGTCACAGTTACCGCCTGCCTCGCCTCTCCCTGGTCCCTCTCCTTACACTGGTCCCACAGGAGGTCTTACGGAGCGTCGTGAGCCTGAGTCTCGTCCTGCGTCACCTGTTCGTACTGCTCGCACTGGTCGTCGTGTCCCGCGTGAGCGTCCTCCCCCTGTCCCTGGCACTCACTACATGACTTTGCGTCCCTCCACTGCTCCTCAGCGTGTCCCTCTGCCGTCACCACCTGCGTCCTCTCTTCCTACTCCTCCTGACCCGGAGTCTGACTCCCGTCGTGCTGCCAGTCCTACTGTCACGCGTCTCCTAGCTACTGTTGTCACTGACCCTACCTTTGAGTCCTCTGCTGCGTCTGCTCTGGTAGCTGAGTTGGTTGACTTTGCTGCTCGGTGTCGTCTCGACTACGCCGCTAGCCTTGTTGCTGAGTCTGAGTCTGTCTGTCCTCCGTCCGTCGGGGGTGAGTGTGCTCTTGGCACGGACGTCCTTGAGGACAGACAGGAGGAGTTCCAGTGCTTTGCTGCTGCTTTGCCCCATCTCGTGTCCATGCTAGTTGCCCCTGAGGGAGACCCGGATGCACCAGACATCCCGACCCCGCGCTCTTACGCTGAGGCGATGGCGGGTCCCTACTCCTCTCAGTGGCAGACAGCCATGGACGCAGAGATGGCTTCCTGGAAGTCCACAGGCACCTACGTAGACGAGGTTCCCCCACCTGGGGCGAACATCGTCAGTGGCATGTGGATTTTCAGGGTGAAGCGGCCGCCGGGTTCTCCTCCTGTCTTCAAGGCGCGCTACGTTGCTCGAGGCTTCAGTCAGCGAGAGGGAGTAGACTTCTTCCAGACCTTCTCCCCCACCCCGAAGATGACCACTCTTCGGGTACTGCTGCACATAGCCGCTCAGCGCGACTATGAGCTTCACTCACTTGACTTCAGCACTGCTTTCTTGCAGGGCAGCCTGCACGAGGAGATCTGGCTGCGCCGCCCTCCTGGCTTCACTGGGTCGTTTCCTCCTGGTACCCAGTGGAGCCTCCGGCGGCCAGTCTACGGTCTCCGCCAGGCGCCGCGTGAGTGGCACGACACACTGAGGACTACACTTGCGGCTCTTGGGTTCACTCCTTCTACTGCTGACCCGTCGCTGTTTCTACGCACCGACACCTCGCTGCCGCCGTTCTACATCCTCGTGTACGTCGACGACTTGGTCTTTGCCACTGCTGACACTGCGGCACTCGCCCACGTGAAGTCTGAGCTGCAGAAGAGACACACGTGCACAGACCTGGGTGAACTGACAAGCTATCTTGGCTTGCGGATCACCCGGGACAGAGCACGGCGCACCATCACCTTGACTCAGTCACACATGGTGCAGCAGGTCCTTCAGCGCTTCCGCTTCACGTACTCCTCGCCTCAGTCCACTCCTCTGCCTACCGGTCACTCGCTCTCAGCTCTGCCTTCGGATGAGTCCGTAGAGCCGAGTGGCCTGTATCCAGAGCTTGTGGGCTGCCTCATGTACCTGATGACCTGCACTCGTCCTGACCTTGCATACCCTCTTAGCATCCTTGCATGCTATGTCGCTCCTGGCCGTCACCGGAAGGAGCACATGGATGCCGCTAAGAGGGTGTTGCGCTACTTGTGCAGTACGTCAGGCATGGGGCTAGTGCTTGGAGGGCGAGACCGAGTTGTACTTACTGGACACTCAGATGCTTCTTGGGCGGACGACCAGGCTACTCAGCGGTCGTCTTAGGGTTACACCTTCAGTCTTGGCTCTGGCTCAGTTTCTTGGCGTTCTACACGCTCTTCTTCTGTTCTCAACTCCAGTTGTGAGGCTGAGATCTACGCCACAGCCATGGCGGCCCAGGAGCTACGCTGGCTCACCTACCTGCTGACCGACTTGGGAGAGCGGCCTCGTTCTCCTCCAGTGCTGTACATCGACAACCAGGCTGCCATTGCCTTGTGTGAGGAGCACAGACTGGAGCACAGAACGAAGCACATCGCTCTGCGTTACTTCCTTGCTCAAGAGCTACAGCAGCGCGGTCAGCTTCGTCTGCGTTACGTGGCCACTCAGGCCAACACTGCTGATGTGTTCACCAAGGCGCTTCAGCCTTGTGACCATCAGCGTTTCTGTACTCTTCTAGGCCTTGTGCCTACTGGACCTCACTTGCTTACTGCTTGACTCTGTTTGTACTGTGATCTCTATATATATACCTGCATGTGTACTCTTGCTAGGTTGCTATTGCTGTATCTCTTGTATATTATTACCCTGCATGTGAACTGGTCTTGTGACCACTTGCTTGTGCTCGGAATTTGTGTGGTATCCTTGAGATCCACCCTGAGCTTGCTTTGCTTTGCTTTGACTGGTCTCATGACCCTGTGGTTGTCTCCCACTGCGCCTATGGGGGTGTGTCAAACATTGTATGTTTATGTTGTGTAGGCTGTAGTGGGTTACACCTTAGGGGGTACACAAACTTAGGGTTTCCTACTTGTACCAAACTTCCTGCTAGTTCATTCATTCCTGCTTCAGTTATTCTGACACGCCAGGGCAGGACTGTCTCCCGAAGGAGCTTTGGGAGAAGCAGTGGGATCTGATGGGCGGGCAAGTGATGCATTTTTTGAGAGAGTTTGAGCAAACGAGGTTGCTGCCTAAGGAGTTCTCAACGGCAGTGACGGTGTTGCTCCATAAGAAGGGGGCGAAGGATGACCTCCAAAACTACCGCCCGATCACGCTGCTCAGCACGGCATACAAAGTCATCGCGAAAATCCTGGCGAACAGGATAAAGCGCAAGCTGGATAAAGTGGTATTGGAGGGGCAATTTGGTTTCCTACCTGGCAGGAGTCTGGCAGGCGCGGTGGCGATAGCAGCTGACGTGATTGACGCCGCGAATTCCGGCCAGGAGGACTGGCTCATGCTTCTCGTCGACTTCAGGAAAGCCTTCGACTCGGTGGGGCGTGACTACATGTTCGACGTGTTGCGGAAGATGGGCTTCCCGGAGGTTTATGTGAAATGGGTGGAAGGGCTCCACTATGGGGCGGCGACCCGCATCTGCAATGACGGATGGCTTGGAGAGGAGGTGTCGGTGCAGACTGGGGTGAGGCAGGGCTGTCCCCTCGCGCCGTATCTCTTCCTTTGCGCGGTGGAGCCGTTCTGTCAGGAAGCACGGAGGAGATGGTTAGGGATTGAGGTCAAGGGTGCGGGTAAGCTCACGTACCTGGGGTACGCTGATGATTCAACTCTCCTTCTGAAGGATCGGTCGCAGCTGAATGACGCAGAGAAGCTGCTGAGGGATTTCGAGTGTCAGTCCGGGCTGGCGGTGAACTGGGACAAGTCAGTGGTATTACCACTTGGGAGACAGCGGGATTTGCCGCCGCGTGATGGGTCGTTCAAGTGGGCGTCGCGTGATGACCCTGAGCGCCTGTTGGGGGTCTGTGTCACAGGATCGAATTTCCACTCGAGAATGTTGCACTAAAGGTGAGTACAAGGCGTATTTATACTTAGAAATACATAGAAACAAGCGATAATCCGAACCTTCGGGAACGCGCTCTCATAGGATAGATAATCACTAGTGCGCATAAGCACGCAAGCCCATTGGCACATTGGATTATGGCGAGATTACGCCTTGTACACCACCGTCGGTGCTGTCGGTGCCGTATAATGTAATTGTCGGTGCCGACAATACAAAATAAGTGAAATAGTTGGAAAGCTCTAGAAAATAGAATAGTAGTCCGATTGAGGTGAAATAAAGTGCAAATGAAAGAGGAAAATAAGGAGAATAAGATAAAGTTAAAATATGGAAATGAGAAGCATGTCGAACGTCGACGTACTCTTACACTTCCCCCCCTCAAAGCTGGGTGGTAGATGTAACACCCTGCTTGACAAGGTAGTCTCGGAGAGAACGTCGGGCGTTAGTCATATCTTCCTCAGAGACCCAGCTGTCCTCAGAAGGATCATAGCCCTTCCAGCGTATGAGAAACTCCAGGGCGCCATGCCGACGACGACGATGTGCAAGCACAGATTCGACCTCGTACTCAGGTTCATCATTGACGATAACTGGAGGCGGCGGCGGAGGTTGGCGTCCCGTGTACAGCTTATTTGGATCCCGATAGGGTTTAAGAAGCTGTACGTGGAAGGCATTATGAATCTTCCAAGTAGCTGGTAGGCGCAAGCGGAATGTGACTGGAGTGACCTGCTCTTCTACGAGGAAAGGTCCGCAGAAGCGAGGTCGCAACTTGGATGGAAGGTGACCGAGGTTGAGGTTGCATGTGTCAAGAAGTACATGGTCACCAACCGCAATGGTATGATCACGGCGATGGCGATCGGCCGAGCGTTTCTGTGAAGACTGGATGTCTTGCAGGCGCTTGTGTGTCCGATCCCAAAGCTGCTGCATTGTAGTAACGAAGTCGTGCGCGGGCTGGACGCTTGCAGGTACTGTTGGCTGCTGTGGAGTTAGCGGATGTCGACCGTAACAGAGGAAGAATGGAGTCTCTCCTGTGGCAGCATGCTTCGCATTGTTGTAGGCAAACTCCAACACCGGCAAGTGCAAGTCCCACTTGCTAATGTCGTCCTTGCATGTTGCGCGCAAGAGTTGTTCCACAATCTGGTTCAAGCGCTCTGTCTGCCCATCGGTCTGGGGATGATATGCAGATGACATCGCTAGGCGTGTCCCCATGAGCGACATGAGCTCTTTCCAAAACTTGCTAGTGAACTTGGGGTCCCTGTCGGAGATAAGGGTTGTCGAGATCCCGTGCTGTGAGATGACGTGCTTGACGAACAGCTGTGCCGTTTCCTCCGTGCGTGCGGTTGTATGTGTCGGAATGAAGTGTCCCATCTTTGAGAATTTGTCGATGACGACCAGGATGGCGTCATGTCCCGCTTTGGTAGGTGGTAACCCAGTGATGAAGTCCAAGCTGACCACTTGCCAAGGCTGTTCCGGGACGGGCAGAGGCTGAAGAAGTCCTGCTTTCTTCTGCTTACTGCTCTTCATCCGCTGGCATGTGTCGCACGAAGTGACGAACTTCTGCACGTCGTCTGCCATGTGAGGCCAGTAGTAGACTTTCGCAATCCCAGCAAGAGTCTTGTTACTCCCGAAGTGTCCAGCGTAGAGCACATCGTGGAACTCCTCGAGAAGCAACTGCCGAAGAGGTGGGTAGTTGGGTACCCATATCTTTGTTGATCCTTTGCGTAGTGCGATGTCGTGGTCCCACTGCAGCAATTTCTTCTTCTCTGCCAAGGGAATCTCGGGGTCGATAGTGTACCCGTGCGTAAAGAGTCCCTTATGTAGCAGATTCATTCCCTCAACCTGTATGGCGGCAACGTATCCCGGCCGGCTCAGTGCATCTGCTTTATTCTTGTGTCCCGGCTTGTACACGATGTCGTAGTCGAAATGCGTCTCAAGGAAGTCGATCGACCTGACTTTTCGCCTGGAGAGGGTCGGCTGCGTTTTTAGGTACTTCAGGCTGCAATGGTCAGTGTAGACCGTGGTCTTCCTTCCTTCGAGGTAGCATCGCCATGTCGTAAACGCGGTGATGATCGCTAAGGCCTCTTTGTCGTGAATCGGGTAGTTGAGTTCTGCCCCGTGCAATTTCTTGTTCAGGTAAGCAATTGGTTGTAGTCCTTTCCCTTGGTCTTGCATCAAGACTGCTCCAACTGCTTGGTCGCTAGCATCAACTTTGATGACGTAGTCTTTTTCTGGATCTGGCAGGATCAGGACGGGTGCGGACGTGAGTGCGGTTTTCAACTGCTCCATGGCCCGCTGGTATACATCCTCCCACCTAAATGGTGTATTCTTCTTCAGCAGGTTGGTGAGAGGTGTTGCAATCTTCGCATACTGTGGCACGAACCGATTGTAATAGTTCGCGAAGCCAAGGAATTGCTGAAGTTCCTTCACGTTTTCAGGCGTCTTCCACGTACGTACGACTTCGATCTTCTTTGGGTCGACATGCACTCCCGGAGCGCTCACCATATGTCCAAGAAATTGAACTTTCTTTAAGGCGAATTCGCTCTTGGATAGCTTGACGTAGAACTTCTCCCGTCGAAGTATCTCGAAGACACGTCGTAGGTGTTCGATATGCTGCTTCATATCCTTCGAGTAGATCAAGATGTCGTCCAGGTACACCACCACGCATTCGTCGAGTAGAGGCCTGAGAATATGGTTCATTTCGGCCTGGAATGTAGCGGGTGCGTTGGTGAGACCGAACGGCATGACGAGGTACTCGTAGGATCCGTATCGTGTCCGAAACGCCGTCTTGTGGATGGAATTGTCCGCCATCCGAATCTGCCAGTATCCTGATCTCAAATCGAGTTTTGAGAATATAGTGGCTCCCCGAAGTTGGTCAAGTAGGTCATCGATCCGAGGAATGGGATACTTATTTTTTATCGTCTGCTTGTTGAGAGCTCGGTAGTCGATGCACATGCGTAAGCTTCCGTCAGGTTTTGGCGTGAAGAGCACTGGTGCACCATATGGTAATGTCGATGGTCGAATGAGTCCCTTGTTTAGGAGGTACTTGATCTGCTTCTTCATGTCAGCCAATTCGGTAGGACTGAGTCGATATGGTGCTCGGAAGGTCGGTTTCGAACCAGGTTCTTCGACGATCTCGTGCTGGTGGGTTCGGTATGGCGGCAACTGGTCTGGAAGGTCGTCAGGAAGAACGTCTTTGAACTCCTCCAGAAGTTTCTCGATAGCAGGTGGAAGCTCAGGTGCCTTCTTCTCTGCTTCATCCTCGTCTGTAACCAGTGCGACGAACCCTGCCATGGTTCTTTTCACGTCCTTCTCGAAGCGTGCGAGAGTCTCCTCCGGAATATCTCCCGTGTTGCTCCAACTCGGAAGTGGAACTCTTCTGTCTTGATTGTAGATGCTCGCCGTGCGGGTGACCCAGTTGATCTCGGGGTTGAACTTCTTGAGAAAGTCTCTCCCAAGAATCAAGTCTAGCCCTTTGATGTTGGTGACAGGTAGGGTCGGTTTCCAGCGAAGAGGACCCATCTGCAGGTGTAACGCTACTTCGACGTAGACTTGTAACTTGCTCCCGTCAACCATCGTAGCTGTAAAGCTTGAAGGCGTGCACTCCTCATTAATGCGTTCGAGGGTTGCTTTGTCACATACTGAATGGGATGCTCCGCTGTCCACGAGTGCTTGGAGGCGTCGTCCATTGCAGATCACCTCGAGCAGAAGTGGTTGGCGTTGCTCGCTGTACCCGTTGATCGTTTCATTGATTGGATCGTACGGCACATCCTATAGCTCTGTGGTATCTCCTTGGGTGGCGGATGGCCGGTCTTGCCTTTCCCTGTTGTCATGATTTTTTGTTTCCGTCGATGACGTGGTTCTCGAGCTCGTAGTAGAATTCCTTCGTATGCTAGATGTTGCAGATGTTTCAGATGCATCTGTAGAGGAGGTTTGAGGTCGTCGCAGCTTCATGTTGACCTCCAGCTCCCTCTTGAGCTGCTTCAGCGCCACCGACTTCTTCCGTGGGGACCGGTTGGTCGACGTGGGCTGGTTGTTCTGAGAGAGGACGATGTCGTCGTTGGAAGGTCGATCTTCCACGCTCCGTTGTTGGTTCCCCATGCGCAGCTGCTGCAGTTGTCGTACCGGTACATTATATTTCTTATGGAGCCTCTCTCCATTTTTCACCGAGACCGTAGACCCAGGGGAGTTTTTCCCAAGTAAAGCATCCTTGTATGATATTTCTAAGGAGTGCTTACTTTTTACAGGGCCTTTTTGGAGTTGTCCGGGTCCAGCAGGGTCTTGTTTCGCGGAGATTTTATTTTTCTCGGCGTTTTTCCCTGGTAGAGTCCGTTCGTGGGTTGAAGAATTCACTCCACGATCCTCCAATTTTTCCACTAAATCTGCTCCACTGATGCGGTCCCAAAGCGCGGCACGTGCGGTTTTCATTTTGTTACAATCGATGAATCGATGTCCCGGCTTGCCGCAGAAAGAACACTTAGCTTTGTTCTTCTTTGGTCTTGCCTTTGCGTCGATTCGATCGAGTTCCATCGGGTCGGCGTACGTGGGGGTAGCCAAGCGTCCTCCATGTCGTCTAGCTCGTCCATGAAGTCGTCGTGTTCCGATCGTGATTACGTCGAAACGTTCTGCTGCCGAGACAACGTCGTTGTAGCTGCTCCAATTTGCGGCCGCAACGTGTTGTCGTATTTCTTTTTTCAGCCCCGCGATGAATGCCCAAATTTTTTCGCCTTCCGTGACGTCGGGGATGCGGTTGAACAACTCCTCCATTTGTTGCGTGTAGTTCGCGACGCTCCCGATTTGTCGATGACGATGTATTTTGTCGCGGGCGATAAACGCTGCATTTATCGGCTCGAAACGTTGTAGTAATCCTTCTCGGAACTGCTGCCACGTCGCTTCGCCTTGGTTTAATAATCCGCTTCCGCTTATCCAATCAATTACTGGTCCGCGCAGTAGTGTTTCGCGAACCGTCGTATGTCGGGGATGTCCAACCGACGGCTACGAAATATATTTCGATTTCCGCCAACCACCTTCGCACGTCGATTTCCCCGTCGAAGGTGTTGGGGGCTCGAATTTTTTGGGCCTTGGGAAATTTTCGCGACTGCTGCGAAGTCACGATCGATTCTGATGCTGTCGCAATTTTCGCAGTGACGCGCGCTTCCACCCGAAGTCGTTAGTTCCGTCGCGCGTCGGTCTTGCTGTTTCTGCACCGCTCGATATAGGTCCTGACAATTCGCGATGGTCGTCGCGATATCGCCAGAAAACTGAACTTTCGGACCTGTTCAAAAAACGCGCGAGGGGGGTCATTAAAAAAACGCGGATTCTGGTGCTTACCAGCGTCGGCGCCGAATTCTTCGCCCCGGCGGTTTTTCGAAGCAGGAGTTTTGCTGTCGCGCGCTTAGCTGAAACTCCGCGAGTGAAAACGGCTCTGAATACCAAGTGTCACAGGATCGAATTTCCACTCGAGAATGTTGCACTAAAGGTGAGTAGAGGCGTATTTATACTTAGAAATACATAGAAACAAGCGATAATCCGAACCTTCGGGAACGCGCTCTCATAGGATAGATAATCACTAGTGCGCATAAGCACGCAAGCCCATTGGCACATTGGATTATGGCGAGATTACGCCTTGTACACCACCGTCGGTGCTGTCGGTGCCGTATAATGTAATTGTCGGTGCCGACAATACAAAATAAGTGAAATAGTTGGAAAGCTCTAGAAAATAGAATAGTAGTCCGATTGAGGTGAAATAAAGTGCAAATGAAAGAGGAAAATAAGGAGAATAAGATAAAGTTAAAATATGGAAATGAGAAGTATGTCGAACGTCGACGTACTCTTACAGTCTGGGTCACGCCAGGGGGAGACGCAAAGCCGTCGTGGAAAAAGGCGGTGAGCAGAATAGAAGCGGAGCTGAAAAAATGGGAAGCGAAATATCTTACTACGACGGCGTGGGTGACGGTGGTCAACTCGTACGTCATGCCTATTGCGCTGTTTCAAGCGCAAGTTTACCCCCCTCAAGAGGCGGCCTGGGAGGAGCTGAGGAGACTGTGTCATGCGTTTGTCTCCGGAGGAAGGGCGAGCACGGAGCCGGGTTTCATCCTCTGGAGCGGAGATCTGATGCAGCTAAAAAGAGTTGATGGTGGCCTAGGGGTGATAAACCTCAAAAACCGACTTGACGCGGAGGCGCTCCATTCTTTCGCGCTCCTGCTCATAGAGGAAGTGCCACAGAGGCGGGTGCTTGCAGAGAACGCGGCGAATCTCCTGATGGGCTATGCGTCGTTCCTCGCACACGAGTCCCTTTTGAAGGTGTGGGGCACGGGGAGCGAGCGCTGGAAGGCGATTGCTGCTGCGGTGATGGCCTCGCCGGTAGTCAAGAACCTGCCAACCGAGAACAGATGGGACACGGAGAAGGAGAGAGTGCTTTTTAACACGCGTATCACGCGGGACGGAGGCTGCCCTTTTGGAAGGCGTAAGGGCTCAGAGTGTTTGCATGAGATCACGGTGGGCGACCTGCTCATGAAGTGGGCGGACGGCACTAGGAGCTGGAAGGGGCCAGAAAGACTAGCATGCGACCTGGGCGACAAGCAGGCAGCGGCTCTGGCCACGGAAGTCAACGCTGCAATCCCGGAGTGTTGGAAGGAACAAGTTCTGAAGCCGTTGACGGCAGACGAGTTATTCCAGGCGACCAAAGTTGTGCGGACGACGGGAAGGGGCACGCAGCTGTGGTGGATTCAGCGGGCGAGCGGGAGTCTGCTGTACGGTGTAAAAATGAAGCGGCAGTACGGTAGTTAGACCCAAGGCTCTTTCCGTGTCAGGTGTTACGCCGATGGCGATGGTGGGTGATGAGGTGGTTGGAGAGCTCGGTGACCCGCGTGTCAGGCTTCTCAAGACGGAGCTCTACGTGGGGAAGCTTGCAGCTCCCCTGAGACAGCTGAGAGTGGGGCTAGAGGTGGGGCACGAGCAGCCGTGCAAGCCTCTGCGCAGGGAAGAGTGGGAGAAGCTGTGGGGAAGGAAGATCGATTGGAAGCGGACAATCGCGCGCAGGGACTCCCACGTGGTACCTGCAAAGGCACGGGACGTCCTGCTGCGTGCGCACTGTTTCAATCTTCAGGTGGGGGACCGGCTGAAATTCTTGGGCGACCGGGCGAAGTGCCCGCACTGCGGGGAGGCGGAATCAGTGGACCACGCGCTTTTCTCCTACCGAGTCATTCAGCCAGTGGTGGGGGCCCTGAAGGAGGCGATCCGCTGGTTAACCCAGCGAGGAGGGTGAGGACACTTGGCGACTTACTATTCCAGCGTGGGGGGACGGCGTCTGGATTTCCGGAGTTGACGGTATCGGCGATCTCGTTTCATCAAATTTGGGTGGAGCGCTGTAATGCGGTTTTCAGGGGGTGGAAGTTCCAATGCCGGAAAGTGATGAGGCGAATTGTGACGGCTTTCTGCCTTCACGCGCGGACGTATGAGGGCATCAAGCGGAAGAAAGCATGGGCGAAAAAGAGACCCGTGGCCAAGCAACACCTGGCCAAGGATGAGGTCGCTGCACTGGAAAACGCCAGCACTCGAATGGTTGACAAGCTCACGTGGCGTGACGAGTTCCTGTCCATCTGGACGGATCGGAGGGCCAGATACAAACCGCCATAGAGTCTTAGGAGGGGCCGCTCTCTCACTGTGTGTAATTGCCCCCCTCGCGCAACAGTTACGACTGTGACCTTTTTGCTGTATCCTTGATATAGTGAAAAGCCTTCTATTAAAAAAAAATTTCTGAAATGCAATATTAATTGGAATTTCTGTGCTCCGTTGAATACACGGATTTGGTATTTAGAATGTGCTTGTTGAGGAAGGTAGGTCTGTGTGGTACGAAGCAGTCTCAAGAGTACTGTTCGCGGTGCAGCGTGTTGCGACGGCAATGAGGCGCAAGAGCAGTCCCAACATTCCTCCTGACACGGCAAGCAGGATTTGGCGTAGCTCTGGGCAGGCAGTCATGATTCCTAGGCGAATCACAAGCAGACGTGACTCGCGAGAGCACAAGCCATAACAAGCGCGCAGGCGATTATGAGCGCGAAGGCGATTAAAAGCGCGTAGTTGAATACGATCGCAGAAGCGGTTACGAGCGCACGAGCACGATAGAATTAGTCGTAAAAGCGATCTCAATACAACCGTTTCAGGGATTCACATTTAGAATGCGACTGTCCCGCTGCAGTCCCGCCGTTTCATGCTGGCGGGACAGCGCGAACTCTCAAGCAACCCTCACCATTCGCCATCTCCCAACAGGCACGTGGCCGTCATGTCCACCGTTGTGGTGTCCGAGCCTGAGACCCTCGCCCTATTGAAAGAAACCGACCTGCTCTAAGTGACGCCACAGAACTAACTTGGCGAGTTAGAGGCAGAGCCTAGGATCGATACGACGGGCTCGGAGCAAGGATTCCGTAGCACTTGAGATCAATGAAAACGCCCAAGTAGCAAGAGAGTAATTGTATAATATGTATGGCTGGGTACAAGCTACGAATTGAAGATGAACTCTCTGGATTGCTCTCTGGTTTTATATCTAAAACATGCAAACACAAATGTAACATCGAACCGCGCGCGACTCGCGGAAATTTGGACTTGGGACGTCGAATTTCCGCGACCTCCGCGCTCACATGTTCGGACCTTGCCGAGTTCATTTCAACACGCCGAATGCGTGTGTTACACGAAAGTGTAGCGAGTGTAGCGAAGTGTTCAACACATTCGCTTGATCTCTCGCTATTTTCGTTTGTGCTTACGGGGCTGCCAAGTGTAGCCCCCACAAAGTTTCGGACCCAACCGGGTGAACTTTGGTTGCGTGGCGACGCGGACAATCCGCTGTCACCTCAACCTTCCGTGAAAACACCCTCCCTTGGTCCGAGTCAAGGGAGGTCTTAGCGTGGGGGGCAATCCCGTCCCCCACACTTCCAACACTCCCCCTTGCACCCCACGCACACCTAAGCATGCAAGCCTACCCTAGCACAACATGCATGAAGAGCATCTCTAGGCAATGGCTTGGTAAGGAAGTCCGCGGGTTGAGAGTTGGTCTTGATGTAACGAAGCTCGACTTCGTTGTCTTCAACAAGCTTACGAATGAAGTGGTGCCGGATTTGAATATGCTTGGTCCTTCCGTGAAGGACCGAGTTCTTGGCTAGGCCAATAGCGGCTTGGTTGTCCACGTAGATGGGAGTGGGGCCTTCTTGTTTGTGCCCAAGCTCGGCAAGAAGACGCCTTAGCCAAACCGCTTCCGTACCACCACGAGTGAGCGCCACGTATTCCGCTTCGGTGGAGCTAAGTGCAATCAAGTTTTGGCGCTTGCTTTGCCAACTTATTGCACCTCCCACGAGGGTGAAGATATAGCCCGAGGTGCTTTGGCGGGTTGAAGGATCTCCCGCCCAATCCGCATCCGTGTAGCCTTGAAGCACCACGGGTCCCTTCTCGTAGTGCAACCCCATACGAGTGGTCCCCTTGATGTAGCGAAGGAGACGTCGTGACGCTCGCACATGCTCGACCATGGGGTTGGAGACGACACGCCCAAGCACTCCAACGGGAAAGGAGAGGTCGGGTCGCGTGCTCACCGCGGCATACATGCACGACCCAACGACCGAGTGGAAGGTCTTGGCGCTCTCGGGATCCATCGGGTTCTCGTCGCTCACGGCCAATGGATGAAACCCCGCTTCCATGGGTGTCGGTGTAGGCTTGCTCTCGATCATGCCGAAGCGATCCACCACACTCTCCAAGTACTTGTGTTGGTGGAGGTTGAGGGTCTTGTTCCATCGATCACGATCGATGTGCATCCCTAGGTACTGGGAGACGGCGCCGAGGTCACGCATGGAGATTCCGCGGCAAGCTTCGCCTTCACGTCCGCTACAAGGGTCTTGGAATCCGACACGAGGAGAAGGTCGTCGACGTAGAGGAGAAGAACGAGCTTCTTCTCGTCCTTGTTGAGCACGTAGAGCGCGTGGTCACACTCGCTCCGCACGAACCCCAATGAGAGTAGGTGATCGTCAATCCTCATGTACCACGCACGAGGGCTTTGCTTGAGGCCGTAGATTGTACGCTTGAGCTTGCACACGCGGTCGGAGTCGTCGTCGAACCCGGGAGGTTGCTTCATGTACACCTCCTCCTTGAGACGACCGTAGAGAAACGCCGTCTTCACGTCGAGTTGTTCCACCTCCAAGTCGAGTGCTCCCGCCAACGCCAAGAGGGTGCGCAACGTAGCGGACTTAGCGATGGGGGCAAACGTCTCGTTGTAGTGAAGACCCTCCTTTTGTGTGTAGCCTTGCGCCACCAACCGCGCCTTGTACCGCTCCACTTCTCCGTTGGGGCCGAGCTTCTTCTTGAAGACCCAACGAGAGCCAACGAGGTAGGCGCCGGGAGGCATGGGGACAAGCTCGTAGACGTCGTTCGCCATGAGTGAGTCATACTCTTCTTGAAGCGCACGTTCCCATTCCGCCGCTTCCGCCGAGCTCATGGCGCCGTGGTAGGTGGACGGGGTGTCGGTGTACGCCTCAAGACACATAGCGTCTCCCCCTCCCTCATCGTCCCCCGCCACGAGAGAGTAGTCTACGAGCTTGGAGTTGGGATGAGGGTTCCTTCGAGTGCGAGTGGATGCGAGGGTGGGAGTGATACGAGGAGGAGGAGACGAAGGGTCACATTCCTTGGCATTTCCTTCATCAACACTCACTCCAACCGCACCCGATCCATTCTCCCCCTCACTCGCACTAGGAGGAGGAGCCGTAGGAGCTTCATCCGCCTCATCCGCGGCATCCAAGGGTGGAGGGACGATGATGACCGAGGGCACGTTCGTAGACTTGGAGGGGAAGGTGTCTTCGTAGAACACCACGTCGCGCGACACCACGAGTTTCCCGTGCTCCAAGTCCCACACGCGCCACCCCTTGTGATCCGCGCTTGGACCCAAGTACATCGCCACCCGCGCCTTCGCCTCAAGCTTGGTCCGTGTAGCATCCGGGACATGGTAGTAGCACGTACACCCAAACGTGCGAAGGTCGGTGACGTCCGGCTTCGTACCGCTCCAAGCCTCAAGAGGCGTCTTGTTGGGCAACGCCTTGGTCACGCACCGGTTGCGAATCCAAGTTGCCAACGTAACCGCCTCTCCCCACCAATGCTTCTCCGCGTGAGCATGGGAGAGGAGACTTCGTGCCGACTCCATGAGCGTGCGATTCAAGCGTTCGGCGGCTCCATTTTGTTGAGGCGTGTACGGCGTAGAAAACTCATGCGCGGTCCCACGCCCTTTCAACCAATCGCCGAGCTCCCGAGCGGTGTATTCGCCACCTCCATCCGAGCGAAAGCGCTTCACCTTGAAGCCGCTTTCCGTCTCCACATCCGCGACCCATTGCTTGATGGCGGTTGACGTGGCGTCCTTGTGCTTGAGAAGCCGAATCCAACACATCCGCGTCGCGTCGTCGAGGAGCGTGAGAACGTAGCGCGCACCGCCCTTCGACGCGGGAGTGATCGGTCCGCACAAGTCCGTGTGAACGAGCTTGAGAGGTTCGGTGGCGTTCGGCTTCGTGCTTGGTGGAAATGGCTTCCGTGCCATTTTTCCCTCAAGGCAACCGACACACTTCTCGTCGTCCCCACCCGAGCGCACAAACTCCAAGCCTTGAACAATCCCCTTCGTTGCCATAGCTTGAATAGCCGCACGGTGGAGGTGGCCAAGCCGATTATGCCATGTTGAGAGTGAGGTTGCCGAGGTAGCCGCTTGTGCCGATGCCACGCTAGGGAGAGCGTCAAGCATGAAGAGTCCTCCCGTTTGGCGTGCCGTGCCGATGTGTACGCCATCCGCCGCGCTCAACGCCATCATGGTCCTTTCGATATTCACACGCATCCCTTTGCGTGTGAGTTGAGAAACGGAGAGGAGGTTGGCGCCGAGCCCGGGAACCACCAAGACATTCTTGATGGTGAGTGGACCGCCGTCCACCATGAGCCGCAAGTCGCCTTGTCCCGTGACGTCCAACGTGTCACGGTTGCCGAACATCACGCGCTTAACGGGAGCCTCCGTTGTCACGTTGTTGAGAAGCGTCGCACACGCCGTCATGTGTTGAGTAGCACCCGTATCGAGTATCCACGCGTCCACACCACCGACGGTCGTTCCACTTGCGACGAAGACGAACTCCCGGTCGTTGTTGTCGCATGTCGCCACATGCGCGCGCCGGTTGTCGTCACTTGAAGACGGCTTCCAATTCGCCGGCTTCACGGGACATTCGCGCCACCAATGTCCGGTCTTCTTGCAAAAACGACAAGCGCCGTCGCGCGTCCGAGCTCGATTAGCGTTGGCCGGTCCTCCACGTGATGAGCTTGAGGCCGCCGCGCTCCCGCTCGAGCTCCCGCGGTTGTTGCCGTCGTTGCGCCGCTTGAAGTGACTCGTCCCTTTCGCCTTCGCATCGCGGGAGAAGTGTGCCGCGCCAATTGCATCGCCATGCAATTTCGTGCGCCTCGCCTCTTCGTTGATGAGGCGTGCCACCACTTGCTCCTTCTTCCACGTGTCTTGCGTCCCATCCAACATCGTGATCACGGTTGACCACGCTTCACCGAGGCCCGCGAGGAGCGTCATGATCCAATCGTTATCTTCCACGCTCGCGTCGAGTTCCACCAAGCGCTCGCCAAGCTCCTCCACGCAGTTGACTCGCCGTCCCTCATCCGCACCGTGAAGAAGTCGAGGCGCGCTTGAAGCTTGCTATGAAGCGACTTGGAGACGTGCTCTCCTTCGAGTCGCTTCCACGCTTCACGAGTCGCGCCGTCACGGTCGATGCACGGACTCACGATCGGGACGAGTTGGAGGCTTAGCTTGGAGACAAGAAAGGCAAACGCCTTTTTGTCCTTTCGCACCCACGCTTCCTTCTCCGCGGTTGAAGCGTCCGACGTGGGCTTCGATGCCGACCCATCGAAAAAACCCCACAAGTCGCGCTCCATCATATACACCTTGAGCTTGAAGCGCCACGAGGAGAAGTGCTCCCCGTTGAAAATCGGCACCGCGCTCAAGTCGACAACGTGCGGTGTTGTCGAGAATTCCGCCGGAAGGGAAGGGGCCGTTGGCGCATTCTTCGTCGACGAATTATCGGAGGAACCCATGGCGTAGCAACGATTGAGCGAGCACTCCTAATCTAGCTCTGATACCATGAAAGAAACCGACCTGCTCTAAGTGACGCCACAGAACTAACTTGGCGAGTTAGAGGCAGAGCCTAGGATCGATACGACGGGCTCGGAGCAAGGATTCCGTAGCACTTGAGATCAATGAAAACGCCCAAGTAGCAAGAGAGTAATTGTATAATATGTATGGCTGGGTATAAGCTACGAATAGAAGATGAACTCTCTGGATTGCTCTCTGGTTTTATATCTAAAACATGCAAGCACAAATGTAACATCGAACCGCGCGCGACTCGCGGAAATTTGGACTTGGGACGTCGAATTTCCGCGACCTCCGCGCTCACATGTTCGGACCTTGCCGAGTTCATTTCAACACACCAAATGCGTGTGTTACACGAAAGTGTAGCGAGTGTAGCGAAGTGTTCAACACATTCGCTTGATCTCTCGCTATTTTCGTTTGTGCTTACGGGGCTGCCAAGTGTAGCCCCCACAAAGTTTCGGACCCAACCGGGTGAACTTTGGTTGCGTGGCGACGCGGACAATCCGCCGTCACCCCAACCTTCCGTGAAAACACCCCCCCTTGGTCCGAGTCAAGGGAGGTCTTAGCGTGGGGGGCAATCCCGTCCCCCACACTTCCAACACCTATCAGATCGCCCTAACCGACTTTCTGCGCGCGACGAGGTGAGCGAGCGAAGACAGGAGTGCAGGAATCAGGATGGGCGGCGGACGGAACGGAAGTTGCGCAAAGGGCGGAGGGAGGGAAGAGTCTAAATAGAGAAGAAGGCCGCAAAGGTCGTAAAACGGGAGGAAAGGGCGGAGAGGAAGGAGCAGATAAGGCCTTGTGTGCGGCGGGAAACTCGGAGGGGATGGAGGGAGGACGCCAGCAGTTGTGGATTGGCCGTTGCTTCAGCTCCACAGCTCTCTCCCTCCTGGCGTGCTTTCATGCTGACGCGGTCGCTGACGTGGCGGCTGACGTAGCAGGTGAGTCCAGTGGGTGGCAGCGCAAGGCGGTGGTGGGAGCGGATGGAGCGGAGCCGACGCCACGTGGGACATTCTGGGAACTTTCACAAGGGCGTAATGTGGTGAGGCGGTTTTGGAAGAGGGGGAAAGGAGGTGGGGAGAGGGAGTGCGAAGCAGTGTGCGAAGTGCTTTTGTTGTTGAAAAGGGGGCGTTTGCAGTGATGGGAGCGAGAGAGTTGTGAGCCAACAAGAAGCGCTCATTCCTGTGGTTGTGATTTGCGTTGGTGCCTTGACTTGAGATCTGCTGACATCATACCTAGATCATCTGCTCCATTTGACATCAACAAGGTATGATCTTGTTTGCTCACATGCTCATGCATGCTCATATAATTATGTATAAAATCCAGACACATGCAGTGCTCAAGAATACATGCATGTTGCATGCACATGGCGTCACATGAGTTGATTTTTAAGTCGACTTAAAAAGTGCACAAGAATGCATGCATGTTGCATGCACATGGCGTCACAACAAGCGGTACATGCATGTCACTCACATGCCCTCAACCACAGCAACCTCCCTCATCCACCTCAACTCCCCTAGCTCACACACGCCTCCCCTCCCCGCTCACGTTGCCCCTCCTCTCCGTTTCATCATCTCCCCATCCCCTCCCATTCTCCCCCATCCCCTCCCATTCTTCCCTCTACCCTCCCATTCTCCCCCTTCCCCGCCCATTCTCCCCCCTCCCCTCCCATTCTCCCCCATCCCCTCCCGTACTCCCCCTCCCTCTCCCCCACGGGCTATTCCACCACTCCCCTCCCGCCCTCTGCCCTCCTCGCCCCCCCTCCTTGTCATGTCATGTGCGCGGCCACCTGCAGTGACGTGGCATGCTGATATGCCATGCTGATATGCCATGCTGCTATGCCATGCTGCTATGCCATGCTGCTATGCCATGCTGATATGCCATGCTGATATGCCATGCTGATATGCCATGCTGATATGCCATGCTGATATGCCATGCTGATATGCCATGCTGATATGCCATGCTGATATGCCATGCTGATATGCCATGCTGATATGCCATGCTGCTATGCCATGCTGATATGCCATGCTGATATGCCATGCTGCTATGCCATGCTGATATGCCATGCTGATATGCCATGCTGATATGCCATGCTGATATGCCATGCTGCTATGCCATGCTGATATGCCATGCTGATATGCCATGCTGATATGCCATGCTGATATGCCATGCTGATATGCCATGCTGATATGCCATGCTGATATGCCATGCTGCTATGCCATGCTGCTATGCCATGCTGATATGCCATGCTGATATGCCATGCTGATATGCCATGCTGATATGCCATGCTGATATGCCATGCTGCTATGCCATGCTGCTATGCCATGCTGATATGCCATGCTGATATGCCATGCTGATATGCCATGCTGATATGCCATGCTGATATGCCATGCTGATATGCCATGCTGATATGCCATGCTGATATGCCATGCTGATATGCCATGCTGCTATGCCATGCTGATATGCCATGCTGATATGCCATGCTGCTATGCCATGCTGATATGCCATGCTGATATGCCATGCTGATATGCCATGCTGATATGCCATGCTGATATGCCATGCTGATATGCCATGCTGATATGCCATGCTGATATGCCATGCTGATATGCCATGCTGATATGCCATGCTGATATGCCATGCTGCTATGCCATGCTGCTATGCCATGCTGCTATGCCATGCTGATATGCCATGCTGATATGCCATGCTGATATGCCATGCTGATATGCCATGCTGCTATGCCATGCTGCTATGCCATGCTGATATGCCATGCTGATATGCCATGCTGATATGCCATGCTGATATGCCATGCTGATATGCCATGCTGATATGCCATGCTGATATGCCATGCTGCTATGCCATGCTGATATGCCATGCTGATATGCCATGCTGATATGCCATGCTGATATGCCGTGCCGTGTTGATATGCTGATATGCCGTGCCATGCTGATTTGCCATGCTGTGTTGATATGCTGATGTGCCTTGCTATGATGATATGCCATTCCATGCTGATATGCATGCCATGCTGCTATGTCATGCCATGCTGATATGTCATGCCATGCTGATATGCCGCTATGTCACATGGTTTGTCCCCTTGAGCTGATTGCCCGTACCACCTTCGCCTGGAGGCCACGAGTGATCTCAATTCATCATCTTTATGACCTATACTCGCTGTTTCATGCCATCTCACACGCCATGTCATGCCATCGCACACACCATATCATGCCATCACACACACCATACCATGCCATCACACACGCCATGCCATGCCAATACACAAGCCAAGTATGACTTAATCTGCTTATTGATGATTCGTTGTTGAGATTTGTGACCGCGCTGTGACGTGTAGAATAGTCGTGTTCATAAAAGTACCGTACACACATTTGGGATATCGTACCTGCTAAATGTTCTCAATTTAATGTTCTCAAGCGTTGGCCACTGCCAAGCGTTGGCCACTGCCAAGCGTTGGCCACTGCCAAGCGTTGGCCACTGCCAAGCGTTGGCCACTGCCAAGCGTTGGCCACTGCCAAGCGTTGGCCACTGCCAAGCGTTGGCCACTGCCAAGCGTTGGCCACTGCCAAGCGTTGGCCACTGCCAAGCGTTGGCCACTGCCAAGCGTTGGCCACTGCCAAGCGTTGGCCACTGCCAAGCGTTGGCCACTGCCAAGCGTTGGCCACTGCCAAGCGTTGGCCACTGCCAAGCGTTGGCCACTGCCAAGCGTTGGCCACTGCCAAGCGTTGGCCACTGCCAAGCGTTGGCCACTGCCAAGCGTTGGCCACTGCCAAGCGTTGGCCACTGCCAAGCGTTGGCCACTGCCAAGCGTTGGCCACTGCCAAGCTGCCGCATCAACAGCCCCAACTGCGGTGGTGTTGCCATGTGCTCATGTGAACGTCCCGTGGTGGGACTTCTCTTTCCTCCTTGCCCCACCCCCAGACAAAGGCATGAGTTTCATCGATTCGAGTCTGCCTTGAACTCTGAATCGCTGATTGTGCCACACCAAGAAGTTTTGCTTTCAATCCTGTTCAGTCTGTCCCTTGAACCACAACTTCTTTGTTAGTCATTTTGTGGGTTGTTGTTGTTGTTGTTGTTGTTGTTTTATTTGTTTGGTTGTTTGATATTCTCTGGGTGGTCTTTTTTTTTTTCCTATTCTTTTTCTATTTTGCTCTATTTTTGTACCTCTAAATCTATCCAATCCAATCTCATCCCATCCCATCCCATCCCATCCCATCCCATCCCATCCCATCCCATCCCATCCCGTCCCCTCCCCTCCCCTCCCCTCCCCTCCTCTCCCCTCCCATATCAACCCAGCCTCCCTGGCTGTTTCAACCTCCAAGCTTGGCACAAGGCCTCTCTCAATTCCAATGCTCAAAATCATTGTCCAGAATCCCAAGGGCCCCGTACTCTCTTGCTTTCACTACTTTGCGCCTGGGCCTGCTTGCCATCTCACTTGCCATTTTGATTAGTTACCATTGCAGTTGCCCTTTCAATTGCCAAATCAGTGGCCATTTTGTATCCATTTCAGTTGCTCACCTGCCGCTTCAAATTCTATTTCAGCCGCCTTTTCTGTTGCCATTTCAGTTGCCATGCCAGTTTCCGTTTCAGTTGCCTTTTTAGTTGCCAGTTCATTTTCCAGTGCACTTTGATACCCGTCCTCTCTCGCTTGCTTCGCCTGCTCATTTGGGAAAATCTCCTTGGATCGAGCGACACTCTCTATGATACCTGTCCTCTCCCAGCCCACATAGCTGCCGGTCCTCATTGCCACACTTGAAGGTTCTGTGAGAATAATAGTTGGAAATGAAGTTGATGACTTGATTGAGGAGGATGGGGGTTTACATAGGGAATGGGTTGGATCCTAGCCTAGGTGAGCATTATTGGACCCCAACCAAGGAGTTGGGTTGGGAGATTATTGGTGGGGTCCAATAATGTTGGCCAAGTTGGAGTTGGGCCAACATTATTGGAGGGGACCAATAATTCTACCCATCCCAACCTGCCTATCCTATAGCATATATGCAGGTTACAAGAGAGGAGATATTCTAACACAACCCCTTAACCTGCAGAGATGCGGAAAGGCTTGAGAGAAGCAACCCCTGAATCAAGGCGCGCCTAAGGGAGCGAGGCCGATGAGGCGGAGAAGAGCAGAGTGCGCGGGGCGAAGAAGTGCTTTGGTGAAGATATCCGCCAAATTGGCTTCAGTGGCGATCTTGCGGACGGCGATAAGATTCTGTCGGACGAGGTCGCGGATGAAGAAATAGCGGAGCTCGATGTGCTTGGAGCGACCATGAAAGACTGGATCCTGGGTGAGATGGATGGTGCTGGCATTGTCACACCAGAGCGTGGGACAGCGCTGGGGGGCACCAAACTCTGCTAGGAGAAAGCAGAGCCAGCGAGACTCTTGAGCGGCCATGGTGCCCGCATAGAGCTCAGCTTCGCAGGAAGAGAGAGCGATGGCTGAGGAGCGGGTGGATTGCCAGCTGATAAGTCCGCTGCCGAGGGTAAAGCCATAGCCTTGGGAGGAGCGGCGGTCTGGCTGATTGTCTGCCCAGGAGGAGTCACTGAAGCCCGAGAGAAGGGGAGGGGAGGATCCACCCAGTGTGAGAGCGTGATCCTTGGTGCCGCAGAGATAGCGGAGGACCCGCTTGGCGGCAGCCCAGTGTTCCTCAGTGTGACGGCCAGAGCCGACGAACCGAGCAAGGACGCTGACGGGGTAGGCGAGGTCGGGGCGGGTGCACATCATCGCGTACATCAGCGACCCAACGAGCTCGGCGTAGGGCCGGGAGGAGGAGGAGGGGGAGGTGGGTGGCGCAAGTTGGTGACCGAAGGGGAGGGGGGTGGAGACTGGTTTGGCCTGCGCCATCTCAAACTTCTCCAGGACCTGGCCGATGTAGTGGGACTGGGAGAGAGTGATGGTGCGGGCGGATCGATCACGGGTGATAGCCATGCCGAGGTAGTTTTGTAGTGGACCAAGGTCCTTGCACTTGAGACGTTCCTGAAGTGACCGCTTCATCTGGTCCATGTCGGCCCTGGAATCCGCCAGCAGGATCATGTCGTCAACGTAGACCGAGATGAAAAAGCGACTGGGGGAAGAGCGGATGAAGAGGCTGGCGTCGGAGTGGGAGGGAGAGAAGCCAAGGGACTGGAGTGTGGCAGACAGCTTTGCGTGCCATTCCCGTGGTGCCTGCTTCAGACCATAAACCGGTCGCCGAAGTTGCCAGACAGTGTTGTCAGGGAAAGCAGCATGGAATCTGGGAGGCCGGCGGAGGAAGATACGCTCGTGCAGTTCGCCTTGTAGGAACGCATTGGAGACGTCCATGGAGTCAATCTCCATGTCGTCTCTTGCACCGATGTCAAGAAGGGTGCGTAGGGTGGCCTGCTTGACGGTGGGGGCGAACGTGAACCAGTAGTCCTCAGCCCAGGTCTGGGTGAACCCCTTGGCAACGTAGCGGGCTTTGTAGACTGGTTCTTCTCCCGGCAGCTGCTTGACTCGAAAGATCCACTTGCCCTCAACCAGGTTGGCGTCAGGAGGGAGGGGAACGTCAATGAAGGAGTTATTGTGGATGAATGCCTCGCATTCCTGGAAGATGGCGGCTATCCACTTATCGGCGTCAGGGCAGGTGATAGCCTCTTGGAAGGTGGAGGGGACGAAGATGGTGGGAGCGGAGATCGCGCTAAGGAGTAGGGCGCCGAGGAGGTCAGGGGAAAGTACTGTGAGAGAGGGAGTGTGGCGCCGGACCATGGTGAACTCCTCATGGGAGTCCTCCAGTTGGTTGAGGGAGGGAGGAGACGGTACGCCAAGGATGGGGTCAAGGGAGCGGGTGTGCATGCGAGGGAGGAGGAAGGGTGAGGAGCGGGCAGTCGCCCTATGCCGCTGCTGCTGCTGGTGCTGCTGGAACCCCTGCTGCTGCTGCGGCTGCTGCCCCTGCTGCTGCTGCTGCTGCCGCTGCTGCTGCTGCTGCGGCTGCTGTTGCTGTTGTGGCTGCTGCGGCTGCTGCGGCTGCTGCTGCTGCTGTGGCTGCTGCGGCTGCTGCTGCTGCCCATCCTGTGGCTGCCCGTGCTGCTGCTGCTGCTGCTGCTGCTGCTGCTGCTGCTGCTGCTGCTGCTGCTGCTGCTGCTGCTGCTGCTGCTGCTGCTGCTGCTGCTGCTGCTGCTGCTGCTGCTGCTGCTGCTGCTGCAGCTGCTGCTGCTGCTGCTGCTGCTGCCCCTGCTGCTGCTGCTGCCCCTGCTGCTGCTGCTGCTGCTGCTGCTGCTGGGATGGATGAGAAGGAGAGTGGGGAGGGGAGGAGGGAGGGGGAGCCGTGGAGTGTGCAGGGGAGGCAGGAGCAGTGGGATCGTAGATGTCGGTGGATGAAGGTGGCGGAAGCGGGGTGGGGAGGGGTGGGAGAAGGGGTGCCGGAGGGAGGAGGGGAGGGAGGACGGTGTCGGCCCAAGCGAGAGGACGTGTGGGAGGAGGGAGGGGGTCCGGTGGTGGAGAGGAGTAATATGGGGTGGTCTCATCGAACACAACGTCAATGCTGCGGATGAGGCGACCAGAGGGAGGGTGAAGGAAGAGGTAACCAGGCGAGTCGCGGTTGTGTCCGAGGTAGACACACTCGAGGGCGCGAGGAGCGAGCTTGCCTTGGGTGCGGTCGGGTGGAGGAATAAGCACATATGCCTTGCAACCCCAGACACGGAGACCGGCAGCGTCAGGTTTGGTTCCTGACCAGAGCTCCGTGGGGGTAGTGGCAGTGTGTTGGGGATGGGAGTGAAGGTTGAGGAGGAGGGCAGCATGGAGGAGGGCATAGCCCCAGAGAGAGGGAGGGGTGGAGGCGTGAGCGAGGAGACAGCGGGCGATCTTAGTGATTTCGCGAATGCGGCTTTCTGCAACGCCGTTCTGCTGTGGGGAGTGGGGAAGAGTGTGGGTCTGTTGGATGCCATGGGTGGTGCAGTAGTGAGAGAGAGTGCGGTTGAGGAATTCGCCTCCCCCATCAGAGTGGAGGCGGCCGATGGGACGTTTGAAGTGGGTGCGGCATTGCTCTGCCCAGTTAATGATAATGGTCGGCGCCTGGTCTTTGGTGTGGAGGAGGAAAATGGAGGAGTAGCGGCTGTGATCGTCAACAAGAACCAACATGTAGCGATGGCCTTGGCGTGAGCGGGTGGGAGAGGGCCCCCAGAGGTCCATATGGACAAGGTCAATGGGTGCAGGAGCAAAGGATGGGTGGCTGTGGTGAGGAGATTGTTTGAGTTTGCCGTGGATGCAGGAGGGGCATGGGGGGGCTGGGGAGGAGGGAAGGGGAGGAAGAGTTGGAGGGAGGCTGTGAAGAAGTCGTGAGGTGACGGCAGTGCGGAGAGCGGCAAAATTCGGATGGCCGAGTCGGTGATGTAGGAGAACAGCGGGGTGGGAGAGATGGTCGGAGGTGGAGGGGATTGGAATGAGTGAGGACGGGATGGAGGAGTGGGGAGGAGGCGGAGTGGGAGGAGAGGGAGGGAGATGGGGAGGGCTGGTGGAGGTACCCGCACGAGTGGTAACATGGCAGGAGGATGGCCACGGAGTGCGGAGAGTGTAGAGGCGAGTGCGGGGGCAGAGGGGTATGCGGAGGAGGAAGCGGCCGGAGGCAGTGTGGTAAAGGTCACAGTAGGTGGCATTACCAGGATAGACGGCAGTGATACCTGCACCTTGGATTTCACGGTGGGAGAGGAGGTTGTTTTGGAGGGTGGGGATGTGGAGACCTGTTACCTTGCCAGAGGGGAAGAGTGAGCAGAGGAGAGTGGAGAGTTGTGTGCATGGGATGGTGAAGCTGCTGTCAGCACCGTGAACTTGAGTGGGAGGGGAGAGGGGTGTGAGTGTACCAGCATCTTTGAGGGCGGTCTCAGTGGCCCCACTGTCAAGGACAAAGTCCAGAGTGGGTGAGGAGGAGGAAGACACTGAGTACTGGAAAGTGGTTTCATTAATGTTGGATGGGTACATGGAAGGAAGAGAGGGCGAAATAGCTATGTTGCCAAGGAAGCTCTCGTGAGTGAGAGGGGTGGCAGTGCTACTGGGGGGGGGTGGGGCACCCCAAAGGGGGGCCGGTGAGGCCTGAGCGGTCATGGCTGCTGTGCCAAAGTTCAGCTGCTGCTGCGGCCAGGGAGGAGGGCTGGGTCCCCACTGTGGCTGGGGTCCTGACCCCCATGGGTGCTGCAGTGGCTGTGGCTGAAACAACTGCTGTAACTGCTGCTGCTGCTGCTGCTGCTGCTGCTGCTGCTGCTGCTGCTGATGCTGCTGCTGCTGCTGCTGCTGCTGCTGCTGCTGCTGCTGCTGCTGCTGCTGCTGCTACTGCTGCTGCTGCTGCTGCTGCTGCTGCTGCTGCTGCTGCTGCTGCTGCTGCTGCTGCTGCTGCTGCTGCTGCTGCTGCTGCTGCTGCTGCTGCTGCTGATGCTGCTGCTGCTGCTGCTGCTGCTGCTGCTGCTGCTGCTGCTGCTGCTGCTGCTGCTGCTGCTGCAGGAGGTGCTGCTGCTGGAGGTTGAGGAAGGGTGTGGGGGGAGCAAGGAGGCGGAGGTGGGCAGGGAGGTAGGCTGGATTGGTTTGGATATCGGTGGGGGAGGGGCGTGGGGAGATGTTGCCCCACTTTGGAGGAGTGCCAACGTTTCCCCGTGCGTACCAGGCATCATCGAGAGCTTTGAAGCACGTGCCAGGGGGATGGTTGGTCTGTCCGCAGGGAGTTCCAGCCCGAGGACCATAGCGGCGGACATAGGTGCAGGGAGGAAGCGTGCCAGGGCGACTCCCGCGACTTGCAGTGGGTCCACCCGAAGTGGTGGTGCCGTGCTCATCCCCAGTGGTGCCACCACGGCTGCTGCTGCTTCCTTGCCCACCACCTCCCTTGCCCCCACCTCCTCCTTTGCCGTTGTTCTTTCCCTGCTTGCGAGGCTGGGTAGCGTTGAGGGAGGAGGAGGTGGGTTGGGAGGAGGCGAGGTTGACGATGGGTGTACGGAGTTTAACTTCGGTGTCGATAATCCACTGTTCAACGGAGGCGAGATCGGCCATGGGATTGGCTTCGGTAAAGGCGTGGAGGCGGGATTCGTAGTCTGGGGTGAGGTTAAAGAGGAGGCGGTGGATTTGAAGAGGTTCGGAGAGGCCGGCCTGGCGGGCTTCGAGGCGATCAGCTACCTCGCGCATGCGTCCGACATAATCGACTGCTCCGTCGCAGGTGGCGAGGGTGATGGAAAAATACTCTTGGAAGAGGATGCCGACGGAGCTGATGTCGCGGCGCTCAAACATGGCATGGAGTTCTGCCCAGATGACCGAGGCACGGAGTTCCCGAGCCTGGAAGCGACGCATGAGGGAGTCAGGGAGAGCTCCAAGGAGAACGGTGCAAGAGCGGGTGTCAGCAGCTGTCCAGGCGATGAGTCTGGGGGTGAAGTCAGCCATGTCGACCTTGTATTTGGCGACGACGGCGAGGTGAGCGTCGCGACCAGCAACCGCCTGATCATAGGCCTCAACTGCAGCATCGTACTCGGCTTTGCAGCGGATAAGGTATTCACAGCGGCGTAAGATAAAATCAGCATCAGCGGTGGCTTGGTCGGCGGTGATCTGAAGATCGGGTTCTCGAGGGGGGTCGCCAGGAGCGGGAGGAAGAGGAGGAGTCTCACCGGGGTGGGGAGGTTCGGTGGGGGGGAGGGCATGGGGGCGGCGGAGGATGACGTCAAGGACACGGTAGGGGGGAACCCATGCGTCGGAGAGAACGCGTCGGATGCTGCCGACGAAGGAGTGCCAGTTGACTGCGGACTTGTCCGCGGCGAGTTGTAGCTTATCAATGGAAGACGTATCAATAGGGGGAGGAAGTGGAGAGGGGGAGGGTGTAGTGGTAGCCATGATGGACGGCTGCAGGTGGACCCGCAGTGGTCACGGAGGAGCGTGAGGAGCAACGGCAGCGAGGCCGCGGGGGGGGGGGGGGGGGGGGGGGGGGGGGGGGGGGGGGAGAGTGTGGCGCGGGCAGCAGCGGCTGGCGAGGGCCGCGGCGGCTGGCGCGGAGGCGGCGGCGTTGAGGCCGCGGAGAGGCGTGGGCGGCGGGGGCTGGCGAGGCCGCAGCGGCGCTGGCGCGGAGGCGGCGTCGATGCCGCTAGAGGGAAAGCACGGGGGGGGGCAGCAGCTGGTTAGGCCGCGGCGGCTGGCGCGGGAAGCGGCGACGAGGCCGCGGAGAGGCGCGGGCGGCGGCGGCTGGCGGGGGCCGCGGCGGTGCTGGCGCGGGGGCGGCGACGAGGCCGCGGAGAGGCGCGGGCAGCGGCTGGCGAGGCCGCCGCGGCGGTTGGCGCGGAGGCGGCGACGAGGCAGCGGAGAGGCGCGGGCGGCGGCTGGTGAGGCCGCGATGGCTGGCGCGGAGGCGGCGTGGAGGCCGTGGAGAGGCGCGGGTGGCGGCGGCCAGCGAGGCTGCGGCAAGGCGAGCGCGGAAGCGGCGTCGGGGCCGTGAGAGGGGGCGGCGCGGGCCGTGGCGGCTTGGGGGGCCGCGGGGCTGCGAGGGAAAGAGCACTTGAAGAAAGGGGAAAGGCGGCGAGGTAGCCGCGAAAAAAAAAAATGAGGGAGGAGGCCGGGGGTTGCGGTGGCCTTAGAGACTAGGAGAGTAGGTCCTAGGATTGTAAGCTCTATACCATGTGAGAATAATAGTTGGAAATGAAGTTGATGACTTGATTGAGGAGGATGGGGGTTTACATAGGGAATGGGTTGGATCCTAGCCTAGGTGAGCATTATTGGACCCCAACCAAGGAGTTGGGTTGGGAGATTATTGGTGGGGTCCAATAATGTTGGCCAAGTTGGAGTTGGGCCAACATTATTGGAGGGGACCAATAATTCTACCCATCCCAACCCTTGGGGTCCAATAATTGGACCAAGGTTGGGTTTCCAACCTACAAATTGGGTAACCCCTGCTTGTACACCCAAACTAAGTTTGGGTGCTTAACTCTAGCCTATCCTATAGCATATATGCAGGTTACAAGAGAGGAGATATTCTAACAGGTTCCTGCACCCGAGGTTCTCAGGCGCGTCAATCCTTCCAATCTACCCATGCACCTTGCAGGCATTCATTCATGCAGCCACAGGTGAGGTTCCTTGTGGCATGATCTGCTCATGTAACCCAAGTACCCCAAATGCTGCGATGCTGCCATAGGCGTGCAGTGCAGGCATGGAGCCATGGGGGTGCAGGTTCCATGTGGTATGAACTGCTAAAAGCACAGCGGTCCCAAGCTAAGCCAGAATCCCCTTTGGCTTAGCAGGCTCAAACACAGCCTAATGCTCTTGCTGGAGCTTCTGCTGCTGCTGCTGCTGCAACAGGAAATGCACATTTCTTCTGCTATAGTGTATTGTGCTGTACGCTTTTGACTGCCACTCTACTGCTTCCCCCTCTGAAGAGAAATGATGTGCTTACTGATTCTGTGTCCAACATATTTTCAGTTCGCTATTCCATCTTATAAAGTTTGCTCTGAATTGGTATTGAATCCAGTTGCAGCCCCTACATGCTATCAGTGAATAACTAGCCACAGCAGGACATTATCCCAGTCCTCTTGAGATCTGCCACTTGCACTCATTTGACTTCACCCTTCCATCCAGATGAAGCAAACAACTATTTATTACACTCAGTAATGAATAGAACTAAAGATCCTGCCCTAGCAACATGTCCTGATAATATACAGTGTACAAATCACTGCCTACAAGTCATCATAGTATTCCCAACAGCAGATGGGAGTTGTTCCTGTTAGAATCTAAGGCAAGGATGATGAGATTAGGTCAAGGTGGGGTACAAGAGTAGAGTGTCGAGAGAAATGTGTGTACCCCCTAAGGCTATCCCCAATATAGCCTAGATATAATATGCATATGTTTTGACACACCCCCATAGGCGAAATGGGGGATAGCCAGAGCAAGCAACAGTCACAAGACCAGTCAAGAGACAAAAACACAGCTCAGGGTGGATCACAACGTCACCACTCCCACTGAGCACAAGCAAACGGCCACAGGGCCAGTCCACATGCAGAGGTATATAAGCAACAAGAACAGTACAGTGATCTCTAGCTAGCAAGAGCCAACATGCAGGTATATATATATAAAGATCACAGTACAAACAAGGGCTACAGCAAGTGTGGAAACGTCGGAACAAGGCCCAACAAAGTACAAAAGCGCTGATGATCACCAGACGGAAGTGCCTTGGTGAATATATCAGCAGTGTTGGCCCGAGTGTCCACGTGCCGGAGACGAAGCTGGCCTCGCTGCTGCAACTCTCGAGCCAGGAAGTAACGCAGAGCAATGTGCTTCGTTCTGTGCTCCAGTCTGTGCTCCTCACACAAGGCAATGGCAGCCTTGTTGTCGACGTACAGCACTGGAGGAGAACGAGGCCGCTCTCCCAGGTCGGTCAGCAGGTAGGTGAGCCAGCGCAACTCCTGTGCAGCCATGGCTGTGGCGTAGATCTCAGCCTCACAACTAGAGCTGAGAACTGAAGACGAGCGAGTAGAACGCCAAGAAACTGAACCAGAGCCAAGGCTGAAGGTGTAACCCTGTGACGACCGCTGAGTAGCCTGGTCGTCAACCCAAGAAGCGTCTGAGTGCCCAGTGAGAACAACTGGGCTCCTCCCACCAAGCACTAGCCCCATGCCTGATGTACTGCACAAGTAGCGCAGTACCCTCTTAGCAGCAGCCATGTGCTCAGGTCGGTGCCGACCAGGAGCCACGTAGCGAGCCAGAAGGCCAAGAGGGTACGCGAGGTCAGGACGAGTGCAGGTCATCAGGTACATGAGGCAGCCAACTAGCTCTGGGTAAGGACCACTCGGCTCTACGGACTCGTCCGAAGGTGGAGCTGAGAGTGAGTGACCTGTCGCCAGAGGAGTGGCCTGTGCTGAAGACCAGGTGAAGCCGAAGCGCTGAAGGACCTGCTGCACCATGTGTGACTGAGTCAGTGTGATGGTGCGGCGTGCTCTGTCCCGGGTGATCTGCAAGCCAAGGTAACTGCGCAGCTCACCCAGGTCTGTGCACGTGTGTCTCTTCTGCAGCTCGGACTTCACCAGGGCAAGAGCCTCAGTGTCAGCAGTGGCAAAAACCAAGTCGTTGACGTACACGAGGATGTAGAACGGCGGCAGTGTGAATTGTCGGTGCGCAGAAACAGCGACGGGTCAGCAGTAGAAGGCGCGAACCCAAGAGCCGCAAGCGTAGTCCTCAGTGTGTCGTGCCACTCACGTGGCGCCTGGCGGAGACCGTAGACCGGCCGCCGGAGGCTCCACTGGGTACCAGGAGGGAACGACCCAGTGAAGCCCGGGGGGCGGCGCAGCCAGATCTCCTCGTGCAGGCTGCCCTGCAAGAAAGCTGTGCTAAAGTCAAGAGAGTGAAGCTCGTAGTCACGCTGAGCGGCAACGTGCAGCAGCACCCAAAGAGTGGTCATCTTCGGGGTGGGGGAGAAGGTCTGGAAGAAGTTGACTCCCTCTCGCTGACTGAAGCCTCGAGCAACGTACCGAGCCTTGAAGACGGGCGGAGAACCTGGCGGCCGCTTCACCCTGAAAATCCACATGCCACTGACGATGTTCGCCCCAGGAGGGGGAACCTCGTCGACGTAAGTGCCAGTGGACTTCCAGGATGCCATCTCTGCGTCCATGGCTGTCTGCCACTGAGAGGAGTACTCACCCGCGATCGCCTC